GAAAGAGTGGTGGTGAAAGACCCTTTGTCCAGGGTGGGACACACACACACCAGAAATCAACATGATGCAGAGATCGCGAGACACCCTTCAAATGCCACCCATGTCAATCCATGTCAATCCTTCACCTTTGTTTCCTTTCTGAACGTCGGCATGCACAGGCCTGGACCAGTGACTTGCTCCAGAGAGCTGCTAATGGTTCCTGGACTGCCCTTTCCGAATATTGAATAACTCCTCACACTGTGCTCCCAGTTTCCGTCCGAAGCCGCAGCCAAGGCCGCCTTGAAGTCACGGCTCCAGCAGCAGTTCTGCAGTGATCCGTTTGCGCCCGTGCCTGTCGACTCCATGACGCAGCCAAGCATGCCACCTTCCAGGGCTACTTCACACACTTCACCGACACTGAGTTGTGCCAAGTCGTCTCCAAGTTGAAGCCGGACAAAACTTCCGGTGAGGATGGTATCGGCAAGCCATATGCCATCATGCCGGTGTTCGTTTTCAACCGGGCCGTGCCCCACCTCCAACCACCAGCATCCTGGCACGGCTCCCTACTCACACTCCTTCCCAAAACCGCCCAACCCCTAAAGTGGTCCCAGACCCGCCCAATTGGCCTCCTTCCCACCTTCTCCAAACTCTGGACCCGTATGCTGCTTGCCCGCCTTGTTTCCCATATTCCACACTACAGTGGCGGCCCCAGCGCTGTGGCCTGCCTGGGGCCCAATTGCTTGACGCTTGCGCCGCCGTCCAACACACCATCCACAAGACATCTGAATGGCATGCGCCCTGCATCATCTTCAAGGCTGACATCGAGAAAGCCTTCGACAATCTCAAGTGGGATGCCCTGTTTGAGGTACTTTGGGACAGAAACCGTGAATCTCACGAAAGGTCTGGTAGGCCGTGAGTGGAAGTCCAAGTTGTCCGATAGCATCATCTCATCACTCTAAGGCTCCAGCAGGTTCCAACGAACCTTAAAAATACTTCGATCTCTGTGGTCACCTTGTGCCCTGCCAAAGTGGCTGGCTGCTTAGACCGCTGCGGTCGCGTAAAGGCATGAGCCAACTTCGAATTCAAGAAGTCAACAAATCTGAGTACTCTCAGCCCAGGCCACCTACGCTCGCTGCGAGCTGCTCTGTATCCGGGCAGGGGGTACGTTCGACTAACACCCGTTCAACGGGTCCACAGGGGCCACTCTTCGGGGTCACTCTGGGCTGGCATGAAGCCAGACACACTTATAGAAATGCGTACTGATGTGAATGCTGTGCCACACGCCACTCTAAGTGAAAAACCTAAGAAACCAGGACAGGTAAAGTATGGTGTTCCAAACCTCTCAAAGCCGACATGGCCTCCAACTCCAAATCGACACATCCAAAGCGACAATGCACATCTGCCGATGATGAGCCGATGCAAAGGCTGGATGGCTTGTTCTAGCTACAAGCAGGGCCCATGATGAAATTTATCCGGTACAGCTGCAGGTACGTCGGAGTGATCAGCTCCGATATCTTCCCAACTCATGAGCAGCTTCGTTGGCAGTAGACTCATGAGTGGACTACTGCCCCCTGCTAAAAAACGAAAAGCACAATCAGTACAATCCAAGTGGATCCCTGTGACTTCAAGGGGCACACACACACACACACACACGCCTCCCCGAAGGGAGGCATTCTTTTCTTCTAGCCTCCGGACCAAGGTGGGAGAGGTGAAAAGAACCCTACGAGAAACGGTGAATCTCACGAAAGGTCTGGTAGGCCGTGAGTGGAAGTCCAAGTTGTCCGATAGCATCATCTCATCACTCTAAGGCTCCAGCAGGTTCCAACGAACCTCAAAAATACTTCGATCTCTGTGGTCACCTTGTGCCCTGCCAAAGTGGCTGGCTGCTTAGACCGCTGCGGTCGCGTAAAGGCATGAGCCAGCTTCGAATTCAAGAAGTCAACAAATCTGAGTACTCTCGGCCTAGGCCACCTACGCTCGCTGCGAGCTGCTCTGTATCCGGGCAGGGGGTACGTTCGACCAACGCCCGTTCAACGGGTCCACAGGGGCCACTCTTCGGGGTCACCCTGGGCTGGCATGAAGCCAGACGCACTTATAGAAACGCGTACTGATGTGAATGCGGTGCCACACGCCAGCCTAAGTGAAAAACCTAAGAAACCAGGACAGGTAAAGTATGGTGTTCCAAACCTCTCAAAGCCTACATGGCCTCCAACTCCAAATCGACACATCCAAGGCGACAATGCACATCTGCCGATGATGAGACGATGCAAAGGCTGGATGGCTTGTTCTAGCTACAAGCAGGGCCCATGATGAAAATTCTCCGGTAAAACTGCAGGTACGTCGGAGTGATCAGCTCCGATATCTTCCCAACTCATGAGCAGCTTCGTTGGCAGTAGACTCATGAGTGGACTACTGCCCCCTGCTAAAAAGCGAAGAGCACAATCAGTACAATCCGAGTGGATCCCTGTGACTTCAAGGGGCACACACACATACACCCTGGAAGGTTCCCACCTACAGGGCTGTACCGAACTATCCA